GGAAATGACTCGACGGCGCATAACAACAACAACAATGCACTCAAAAAAAAGCACAGCATACCTTTTTCTCCAATGTGTATGGAACATTCTCCAGAATAGATCATGTTTTAGGTCACAAGGCAAGCATCAATAAATAAAAAAACAACAACAACAAACCAAACCAAACCAAACCATAGAAGTAGTATAAATCATCTTCTTAGACCACAATGCTACAAAATTAGAAATTAATAATAAGAGGATAAAGGAGAAAAAACTATACATTTGGAGGTTGAACAACACCTTGAACATGACTGGGTACTAGAAGAAATAAAAGATGAAATTTTAAAAAAATTTTGGAACAAATGACAATGAAAACACAACTTACCCAAAACTCTGGGAAACAGTCAAAGTAGTAATCAAAGGCCAATTTATAGTAATAAACAAACACATCAAAAGATAGGAAAAAAAATAACCATTGACTCTCTAACCCAACATTTCCAACAAATTGAAAAAGAATAGCAAGAAAACCTGATACCCTCAAAAAAAAAAAGGAAATTACAAAAATTAGGGCAGCAATAAATGAAACAGAAAACAGAAAAACAATTGAAACCATCAACAAAACCAGGAGTTGGTTCTTTGAAAAGGTCAATAAAATTGACAAATCACTAGCAAAATGAATGAAAGAAAAGAAGGAAAAGATGCAAATAATCCAAAGAAGAGATGAGATGGGCAATGTCACAACAAAACCATCTAAAATAAAAAGGTTAACAGTGGAATATTATGAAAATCCATAATCATATATGAAAACCTAGAAGAAATGGACAAATACTTAGAAAACCACAAACTATCTAAACTGACCCCAACCAAAATGAAACACCGGAACAAACTCATTACAAAAGAGGAAATTGAAAAGGTAATAAAATAGCTTCCAGCTGAAAAAAGCCCTGGACCAGCTGGTTTTACAAGTGAATTTTATCAAACATTCAGAGAAGAACTGTCACCGATTCTACATAAATTATTTCAGAAAATAGAAAAAGATGGAATTCTCCCAGATTCATTGTATGAAGCAAACATATCCTTGATTCCAAAATCAGGTAAAGACACCACCAAAATAGAAAACTATAGGCCAATATATCTCATGAACTTAGATGCAAAAATCCTGGATCAAATCCTGGCCAGTAGAATCCAATGAATGATACATCAAAAAAATAATTCACCATGACCAAGTGGGATTCATAACAGGTATGCAAGGATGGTTCAACATAAGAAAAACAATCTAATTCATTACATTAACAAAGCAAAGAACAAAAATTACATGATCCTATCAATTGATGCAGAAAAGGCCTTTGACAAAATCCAATATTCTTTCCTGATTAAAACACTCAATAAAATAGCAACAGAAAGGAATTTCCTCAACATAGTAAAAAATATATACGCACACCTGAGAGTCAACATTGTTCTCAATGGAGAGAGATTAAAGGAATTCCCTTTGAGTATAGGAACTAGGCAAGGATGCCCACTGTCACCTCTCAAAACTGACCCTCCAGTGGGTTTTCAGAGACAGTTAATCACACAGGGGGAGACTACCCATCTTTCTCCCACTGAACAGCTGATGGATTTGAACCATGTACCCCCTGCACTGGCAGCACCATTCCTTCCCACTAAGCCAGCAGAGCTCCCTTGTCTGGTTAAGTAACACTTGTGTAGTTGGTGTGTGAGGGGACAGTGGTTGTGGACCATGCTTATGTATCTCAATAACGAACCGGAGGAGGAGATTGGAGTTGTTTGAGAGCAGTACTGTTTTGGTTATACTTACTCGTAAGTCCTGACAAGCAAGAATGTTGTCCAGCCACTTGTACAGGTAGCCGTCTGGGGAAAGGCCCACATTGTCGAAGACAGGCCCACAACACAGCACTGCTGACATGGCCTGAAGAAGAACAGGGCGGAGCGGGCATGAGACTTAGAAAATGTAACGGTGAGCCACAGACTTCAACATAACACAGCGATCGGAGTCACAAATGACAGCACATTGGAGGGCCATTCCAAAGCCATCGGGTTCCACAATGTTACAGTGCTCCTTAACAGATTTAAGAAAAACAAAAAAGGAATCCCCAACTTTGGATCTTTTTATAGGAGTGAGATCCTGGCTGTTGAACCTTGATGTGTAGATGGTCTACAGAGATGAGATCTTGATTAGACAGTGCAATTTCATTACTCACACTGATCAGTATTAATTAATGCTATAAAACAAAATGTGTATGAATAAGCACATGAAAGTCAATACAATTTATAAAACTTTCACTAAAATGAACAAATAAAGATGTGTTCAGTATGAAATAGAAACTAATTTCAAATATTTAGTAATAACCAAAAGGAAAACTGAGTAACTTGTTGAAATGAAACTATTTTGGACACATTCAGTTAAGTGAAATATATGACTAAAAATGAGCTAAAAACCTAACGGGAATGACAGGCAAGGTCCAATGGTGACTGGTTTTATAAAACAATGTGTGAAGATGAGTGTGGGAAACACAATGTGAATGAGGAATAGTGCGAAGCACAATGTAGATGAACTTTGTAAGCAAACAAATTTAAATAAAAAAATCCAAAACAGAAAAAAAGACTCCCCCCCCAAAACCCCCAACAAACTCCTAGTAGCTCCACAGGACAGAGCATGCCTGCCCCTCAGGGGTTCCAATGTGGAAATTGATTTTTTACAATTTTCTAGGATAAAGAGAGACTGGAAAAAAGGGGAATGTTGCTCTTGGCAGGTTTTGAGTGATTACATATAAAATTAAGTTGGAAATGAATTATTAAAGGAGTTATTTCAGGGGTGAAAGACTAAAGATGGTCCTCAGATATTATGCTGAGTGAAATATCTCAATCTCAAAAAGACAAATACTGTATAATGCCTCTGTTATAAAATAGGGCTGATGGGGGGTTGGAGGGAAACTAAGAAAAGAGGGCATAAATAATGTACATGGCATTGAAACACAAGAGGGAGAGAACTGTATAAAAGGAATATATGATTAGGTATTATTGGTATGACACGAGTCCAGAATAAGAACTGCACAGTAAAGTGGTCTGGGGTGGGGTGGGGAATTGTAGAACAATGAAATAACTTTTTTTCCCCAATGGTAAAAGCAAACTGGGGGAGAGGGTGGGCAGGGAGGAAAATGTGCAACAATGAATAAATGGAAATCCAAGTTCTTTATAAACTTATAATAACATCTCAATTTTAATAAAAAAAAATAAAGATGGTCCTCAGAAGAGAGGCATTTGACAAAAGAGAGGGCTTGTAAAAGTGTCTGCATGTTGTGAGTCCACTGAAATGTCCACACAAATATATTTACTGTAAAATAGCCATAAAAATCTATTTACTTACCCATAATTTTTATGTGTGTGCTTTAGAAACATTAAAAGCATTTTACATATTTATATCTATAGGCATAGCATATCACAAATTTTATCACATTGTATATCACATATTTTACTGTTATTATACATTATATCAAATCATGCCATACTATATGTGTCACATTGTATCATGGAATTTTATATTGTATCATCTCATATTATATACTATATCAAATCATATCATGTGTGACATTGTATCATGTAATTATATAATGTATCATCTTATATTATACACTATATCAAATCATACCATATTATGTGTCATATTGTATCACATAATTATATAATGTACCATCTATAATGTTATACATAATGCAAGTCACATACTATCTTGAGTGATACTGCACTGTTGCATCTGCTGTATATCACATCATATCATATATTGGTGTATATTGTATCATCATATACCAAGTTACATTGAATCCCATACTTCTTAAAAACTGTGGTTGTCAAGATTTTAAAACAAAGGGCCCACCCGCCTGGGCAAGGCATGCAGTCTGGTTCATGTGCACTTGCCTTTAACGCACAGTACTGGTATCTGGTGATCTGATGATTCCTGTCACTGTAGCGATCCAGAGGCGTGAACATGATGCTGAAGGGGCCTGCCCACTGGCTGAACAGGATGAAGAGATGGTGCCTCAGGCTTTGCTGGGGGAACAGAAACCTTCGGTGGTGGACTAGGGAGGAGAAGAGAGTTCAGAAGAGAGGCAGAAAAGCGGAGAGAGCACTGTCACTGTCAGCGTTCTGCAGAACCCTGAAATCCTGGGAAGTAATGGGCCACTGCTTAACTGGGGCTTGCTTTTCTTCCTTTCTGTAAAATTGTGTTGAAAATACACCCAGCAATGCTTACCGATCCAACTATTCCTACATGCACAGTCCAGTGACATCGATGACATTTGTGAAGTTGTGTGACTGTTCTTCAGTTACACTTCACTTTCCGAGTCCTCTCCCTTTATAAACTCACAGACCTCTAAGATTCCTACTGAACCTTTCCAGTTACTGTTACCAATCTGATCCCTTACAGTTTTTAAGTTGAGCTAATCCTTTATTGCTTAAATTGAACTCTTATTAGGTTTAAAGAAGAATTCTGGGGATATTTTTGGTTTAAAGTTTAAATATCTCAGGGCAAAAGCTTTGGGAGGTCACCTATCCTCAATGGCTCCAGAAAGCCTGGATTCCATGAAATGTAAAATTCTGTTCTGAATCCCCCTCCCCCCTTTTGATCAGTATTCAACCATAGAATCCTTGATAAAAATGTTCAGCAGCCGGCCCCCGGCTCAGGGCGAGCCCTCGTGGCCTGCCCTCGGCCCTCGGCTCGGGGTGAGCCGTCGCAGCCCTCAGGGTGAGCTCCTCAGTCCCCAGATTGTGCCATCTGACCCCTGGGTGGTGAAGGAGAAAAAGAAAAAAAGAATGCCTAGGGTATCCAGAGAATGTTACTTAGGCCACCTTCTGCCACCCTCCCCCCCAGTAAACCTGAAAGCAACACCCTCAAAGCTCTTCTATTTGTAACTCACAAGTCTGTTCTCTCTAGGTTTGCTCCCTTTCCTATAGGTAATCTTAACTCTGAGTTTTACTCCAGAATTGACCCTGAACCCAGTGCCAGTGACAAAAAGGAAATACAACTGACAGCTAAGGAAGCAAAGGAGGATGGAGCCTCTGGGTTCAACCAGCCATCCCCACCGGACCCACCTGGTTAAACACTTTGCAGTCCAGAGGGGAGCAAATGACAGGAAAATATCTCCTAACAGAGCAAGAAGGCAAGCAGCTGTAACCCAAGACCACCAGTAAGGTGATAAAGCGTCCTCCCTTCCCCCCTTTACATCTACGCCCCTGTTCAGCATGAAGAAGCCAGAGCGTCGGCATCCAACTCCCAAATTAATAAGACAGTTGGTTTAATTACTATTGGAAAATGCTTGTCATTCCTCTGTAGCACCTGGTCCCCACTGGACCCTCATCATTTCCTTCACCTGCTCCCCCCACCGACCAAACTGTGCAGCTCTGCAACTGCATCCTGGCCCATTCTCACCCTTCTGCCCCCAACCCTCACCTCCTTGTACCCCCAATATGTTTTTCCCAATAAAAAAAAAAGAAGGAAAAAAAATAAGTTCAGCAGCTGGGAACCGGGCATTATCTTGGTTTCCTGACAAAGGAGGCAGTTGTTCATAGAGGTGATTAGCTACAAGTTCCATGTCCTCCTCTTGTCCTGACTCTCCTTCCTCTTCCTTGAGATTTCTTAGGTAATGAAACACGTGTTTGAAACATTAAGGTCCTTTCCGTCTCCTTCCTGTGCACACAATGACACTGTGACTCAGAGATGGAAATCCAGGACCTCGACAATGGTCACAAAAACCACACCACCTTCCACTCAGTGGTGCTGCCACAGAAAACGCCTCTGTGACTGCTGTTAGGTCTTTACTGTACTTCAAGTAACCATTGCACAATATAACACACAGACTGTCTACTGTGTTGTTGTTATGCGCCTTCGAGTCACTTGAGACTTATAGCGACCCTATGTACAGTAGCCCTGGCGCCTGCTCTATACTGTGCCAACCTTACCATCTGTGACACACCTATCCCCATTACCCCAGTCATTGAATTAATCCATCTCATTGAGGGTTTTCTTCTCCTGTGCTGTCCCTCCACTATCCCAAGCATGACATCCCTTCCAAGGACTTGTCCTTCTTTGCAACATGTCCAAAGTATGTCAGAGGAAGCCTCAGAATCCTTGCCTCCAAGGAACAGCCTGGTCTCACCCTCTCCAGAATGAACCTGTTTGTTCTCCTGTCTACTTTAGATAAATATATTTTGCTTTAACTGAAGGCAGAAATTAAAACCTAGAAGAATAAGTTTCTCAGAGCTAATGTGAACTCACAGCACCCCTGCAGCACAGAGCAGGACTACTCTACAGGGTCCCAAGGCTCAGCCTGCACCGATACAGATCGCCACATCGGTCCCTTGTGATGTGGTTGAGGGTTTGAACAGTCAATCTTTAAGTTACGAGTGAAGCACTTTAAATATTACTCTATGAGGATCCCTGAAAAAGTTATGAAATAAAAAAATAATGAAGAAATCAAAGCACTCATTGAGTTATTGCCTTTTGTAATGATGTTAAAAGACATTTTGTTACAAGTAGCTATTTTTATATTACACCAACAAATTGTTTTTATTCTTTATATGATTATTTGATTTCGACTGGTGGATAATGCAATATTTAATCAAGCGTAAAATTTATAAAGCTATAGTAAGTCTTGTACATAGGGTCACTACAAGATGCAAGCGAATCGACAGCACAAAACAACAACAACAACATAAGACCTGCAGAAGCTGGAACCTGTGTAAGGTGGAAACCTGTTAAAGAGGAAAACATAAATATATTTTTACTAACACGAGTGGCAGGAGAATGGTAAGACTGAACACTGTCAGAAGCAGAAAGTTTCAGAGACCTTGACAACCAGCGTGTCCAGTGTGGGCCCCACGGCCTTGCTGTCGAATGTTCTGAATGGGAGTCAGAACACGGAGGTACCGCTCACATCACACCCTCACCAACTGGCACCATGAGGCCATGGGGAGGAAAGAACCTTCTGGAAGCCGTACTCTCTGTGACTTCCTTCACATACAAATCCAAGGGCTCATTCTCAGACGGGACTCCCCAGTGCCTGTGGTTCCCTCTGTATTGCCGAGTTACCGCTCTCTGCTCTCACCCTGTGAGCCTGCACTGGCCTTGTTCTGTGTCACGTAAGCTTTCCGCCTTCGACAGGCTTCTTGACGTGGTCGCATTGCTTGTTTGAGTGATCTTTAACTTTGTATTGTGATTTGGGTGAAAGCTTATGGGCAAACTGGTTTTGCACACAACAATTCACACACATTTTACTGTGGGTGACACTGGTCACCGTCCCTTCCATGTAACGCCATCCTTCCCACTTCCTCTCTCGGATTCTCACTTCCATTCTTCCTCATGTCCTGGTCCTTCCTGTCTTCTATGCTTTGCCCATTGGTGAATGCCGCCTTTTGCCCTCACGTGGTTGATTGCTTTAAGGACCGAGCACTCCCCTAACGTTACCGCTCACTCTACACTCCTGTCCATGGCTTGCCTGGAGCTGAGCCTGGAGGGGGCCGTTTCAAGTCAGCAGGGTGATAATGGGCACAGTCTCAGGGTACATTGTTTCCTTTGTTGTTGTGTGCTATTAAGTCAGAACCCACTCATATCCGACCCTCTAGTGAGTTTTAAAAGCAGTAAAGGACATGAGAGGAGATTGTCCATCTTTTCCTGCTGGGCTTCTGGTGGATTTGAGCCACATGCCTTTGGGTTGGCAGTGTAATTCCTTTCGAGAAGGCCATCAGAACTCCCTTTAAGCTCCCTTGCTTGTTTTAGTAAGGAAAAAAAAAATCAGGTTTCCCTCATTTGACAGGTTCCATCTTAAGCAGGTTTGGACTTTCACAAGATTGACAGTTTCACAGAATAAATTAAGATCCCACCCTATACTTGCTAATGGACCAGCTGAGACTAGAGAAGAAAGCAGAGGTATGAAGAGCCTTTCCCCCTGCAGCACTGGAGGGGATCTGCCCCGGCACATCACTCTACCTGGAACACACTGGATCAAGTTTGCCACCATGGCGCTGAAGTGTGCCCGGATGTCCCTGAGGATCTCGACTTCTTTATCATTCTCAGCTTCCAGGAGCATGCGGGTCAGGTCCACGTATTCTAAGAACAGTGCCCCCAGGGCCAGTGTGTCCCGTTCTAAGGCCCCATTCGTACTGGAATAGAGAACAGTCAAGGTTTAGACATGGTCTCTAAGTCAAAGCACCGTACTTTTCACAAACAACGCACCCGTGCATATAACATATCCACGTCTAACCAAAGCTGTTGGGCAAAGAGGAACTGCCCTGTAAAAGTTCTGAAGCTGAGATCTTTATGAAAGCAGATGGTCTCAACTTTCTCTTAGGGAACAGCTGGTGCGTTTGAACCACTGGCCTCACTGTTAGCCGTCAAGTGATTAACCACTGTGCTACGAGGGAGGAAATCAGCACAGCGAAAAAATAACATGGGGTGTGTGTCATTGCACGGTTGGGCTGAAAGAAAAATCCCGAGTGTTATTTGTGTAAAAACACGGTCATCAAACGCAGAACTGAAAGGCAGCACACCATGAAGCTGGAGCTGACTCCTCGCTGGCCGGCCTGTGGGTTTTTGGGGGCTGTAAAGGGCGCAGGAGACCCATCTTACTCCCACCAAGCCACTGGTGGGTTCAAACCACCCGGTAGGTGCTGCCTTTGGGGTAGCAGCACAACACCCTATGTACTGAGCCACCAGAGCTCTTCAGGAGGACACAATATCAGGTGCTTGGTGAAAAATAAGAGTCACGGTCAGTGCACATACAGGAAACATCATCCTAACCTGCAGATAAAAGAACGTCAGTGTAAGCGGGGCCTGAGGAGAAAAAGGCAAGCTGCTCGGGATGATTTTTGTTTCTAGTCTCTTGTTCTCATTTATCTTTTTCTTTTTCTTGTGACTTGGCTGAACGTTTACAGAGCAGATTGGTTTCCCACTGACTAATCCATTCACATCTTATTTTGCAGCATCAGTTGTAACACCCCCACCCCTCCATGTCTCAGGACCCTCCCCTCCCATTTCCTCTCTCTTCCCACTGCCACTCACCCTGCTCTCCTAGTTGTTGTTATGCACCAAACGCCAAGTCAGAACTGACCCGTAGCTGACCCTCCAGGGGGTTTTCAGATGCCACAAACTGCACAGGAGGAGATTGCCCATCTTTCCCCCATGGCGTGGCTGGTGGACTCGAACCGCGTCCCTTTGGGTTGGCACCACAACTCCTTAGCACCTGGCTACCACACTCACACACATGCTGTTCCCACTAAGTCCACCTTCCTGCTCCCTCCTGGGGTTTAGGTTTTAGATTCTTACAAACAACAGTTGGAAGTGAATTAAATGGAAAAAAAAGCAGGAAGACAGAGAAGAAACAACAGACAAGCCAGGGACATAGAGCCCCTGAGAGGCAGGCGAGGCACGGGGCCTGGACCCCCGGCCCTACCTGTCACTGATGACGCCCGCGTCGGCCAGGAGCTCGAAAATCCTCAGTAACTGCAGCCGTAGCAAGTCTCGCCTCTCCCGGCGCTTCTTGTTCTGTTAGAGAGGAAATGAGGAGTCAGTGACGGCAGAGCAGGACCACGCTGCCTCGGACACTGTCCACGGGAACTGCAGAAGCCCGCCATTCTCGATTGTCCAAGCATCAAAGAGAAATGTATTTACTGATCTTTCCTCCTTGTCCTTAGAGAAAATGCTTGTTATTAAGGGGGAAAAGACAAACAGATTATGCAGAAACAACAGATGCTTCTAAAACGGGAATGCCGAGAGCTGACAGGCTCCTTTCCCAGATGAGCTGGGGGCCTGCAGAGCTGGACACTTCGGAGATACATGGGAGGAAATATCAAGGCCACGGCCGTCCAGTGACCCTGACCCCGGTGCCCTGCGGGAAGGGCAGAGCTGCCCCTCCCCGCGGGCTCCCCACACAATCATCCTTCCAGGAGCACCGGCCCCACCTTCCTCCTCTGGAGCAGCATATCTCAAGGTCCTGCTCACAGTGACCCTAAGGCTCCTGAGGACATGAACGTCTAACTCTCTTATTATACTACCCACCGCCACGAGAGCGCTGGTGGCTCAGTGGAAGGGAGTTATACTGCCAGCCCAAAGGTGGGCAGTTTGAATCCAGCTGCCCTGTTGGGGAGAGATGGTCAGTCTCCTGCTGTGCGATTCACTGGCTCTGACAACCTGCTGGAGGGTCAGCTGTGGGTCATTCTGACTTGACGGCAGTGAGAGTAAGCTACTGTCATCAAGATGCTGCTCAAAACACACTGGAAAAGAATGAGGACCCCGGGGACCCCAGAAGTGGAAACAATTACGATTCCTGGTGAAAAGCATGATAACGGGAAGTGCCATCAAATCCCAATGTGAACGAGGTGAGTGACTTCACTCCGGACAGGGGTGCCCCAGTGTGGGCCAGCATGAGACTGTGCTCTGTGGGGTTCCCAGTGATGGGGCTTACAGAGCTCCCCAGGATGGAGGTCCCTGGAATCGAGTTCTAAGGGATGGGGACCCCAGTGGTGGGGCTCAGGGATGGGGATCCCAGGAACTGGGCTCCCAGGGGTGGGGTTCTCAGGGATGGGGCTCCCCACAATGGGGCTCCCAGGGATTCTGACATTCTTGGGGTTGGGGTTCCCAGGAGAAGGGCTCCTGGGGAACAGGGTTCCGGGGGGGTGTTCCTGGGGGTTGGGGTTCCTAGTGTTCACGTGTTAGTCTGCAGTTTCTTGCTGCTGCAGAGATGCTCAGCTGTCCTAGGCCGACTCTCACGGCCTCGCTGTCGGACAGGGAAGAGCTGCCTGCAGGGGGCCAGCGGGAATGAAGTCTCCAGCCCTTTCATCTGAGGCACTTTAGGTAGAACTGAACCTCCAGCCTTCCAGTGAACATCCACTGCGCGCCCTGCCCCAGCGCTCCTGTGCAAAGAACCATCGGCCCCAAGCGCCCTGCTTCTTCGCAGAGTTTACCTCTGGCCTCCGCTCCAGAGCTTCTTTCATTAAGGGGTGAAGTTCTTCTACCAGCTCTCTGCGGAAGAAAAAGGCCTGCGCTGTGAACGCATCGTGCTTGGCACCAACCTCATCACCAAACACATTCATTCACCCACGTCCCCCCCCGCAATCTGCCTGCTTCTACCCTGGAAGCCCCCTCCTTGCCCTCTGGCTTCTCTTCAGCTTCTGTGGGTCGGACCACGGCTTCTGGCCTCTCGAGTGCATTAAGTCTGAGGCCATGTGGACACCCTCTGGAGACTAAGTATCAGCTGACTTCATTCTGATTCCAACTTCTGTGGAACTCCAGAGCAGAACACTACCTGAATCACCAAACAGTACTGACCATGGCCAGGGTGTGGAGCTGGATGCCACTCCTGACCCAAAGGAGGACCCCACTCCTGACCCAATGATGGACCCTCCCTGGTGCTCTGAGTCCACCAGCTGCTCTTTGGAAGGAAAATGGACAATCTCCTTGCGTGCAATTTACAGCCTCTGAAAAGCAGCTGGAGGGTCCGCTGTGGTCAGTTCCCACTTGATGGCAGTGGCTTAGAGGGAAGTGACGCCCAGCCCTCAGGGGGCCTCGGTGAGTCACTGGATGACTGTGTGTTTCTCACAGTTGAAGGTCTGGGGTGCCCTTCCCTGAGCAAGCCCGTGAGTCCACTTCCCCAGCAGCACGTGCCCGTTTCATGCCCTGAGTCCCATGCTGGCCATTCCTGCAGAATTGCAACCTCTCCTCATGTTGCTGCACCCCTCCTGGTCTACGACCTAGTGTGAACGAGACCACGCTGGGGCTCCAGTACATCTGCGGGCCTCACTGGCACAAATGGACGGAACCGCAGGGCCTGTGATGTGTGCTCGCAGCCCACTCCCACCACTGCCCAGCTGAACTCTGATGCATAGTGTCCCTTCATCAGGCGCCTGGGGCTGCACCCTAACACAAGGCGACTGCCTCGTCCTGCTTCCAGGAGTGGCAGGTGGGCTTGAACCACCAACCTTTAGGTTAGCAGCTCAACATGTAACTTGACACTCTGCTCCCAGGGTTTCTCAGTAATATCCACACGTGCTCCAGCAGTAACACCATGATTCCAGCTGGAGGTTAGGATACCCGCGCACCCAGGCCGATAGAACAACACGATGACTGTACCTGAAAACGAGGGAATTCGTCCGTCCGAAGCCCAGCACCAAGGACTCTGTGATCTCAATGCTCTCTAGTCTCATCAGAGGCACCAGCTGCTTCAGCAGGACACCCACAGATGGGGTGCCAATGGCCTGAAAGAAGGGGGAGTGAGACACGGGCACCAGACGACGGACGGTCCGTTAGCCACACAATGAATCGCTGTAACAGGGCGAAGCACCAGATCGCGGCCCAAAGTGCTGCTGTCATTTCATGAGCAACAAAAATCAAACTGCACACATTTAGAGCCACCCAGGAATACGAGGAGCCCTGGTGGCACAGTCTGTTACATCCTGTGGTGCTAAAAGGTCAGTGGCTCAAATCCACCAGCAACACAGAGGGACAAAGACAGCAAGCCTCCTACCAGTAAGATTTACAGGCTCAGAAAGCCCGTGGAGGGCTGCGGGGGTCAGGACTGACTGGGTGGGTGGAGGGCTGCAGCAGGGGGACGGCTGCGGGGGTCAGGACTGACTTGGTGGGTGGAGGGCTGCAGGGGTCAGGACTGACTCAGTGGCATTGGGTTTGTGTTAAGCTGGCTTTTGGTTTGGCTGTTCAGTCGTTAAACTGCTCTTTGGTGGGAAGTCGGGCAGCTGCCTTCCACAGACATTTACAGCCTTGAAAACCCGATTGGGGGGGGGGCAGGAGTGGGAACTGAGCAGACAGCACTGGCAGTGGGCTTTATGTCTCATCTACAGGCAAATCCTAAATAACAGTTCCATGACATGATTGTTGTTGTAGCTGTGTGATTGTTGTTGTAGCTGTGTGCTGTCGAGTTGGACAGGCTCAGAGCTGACCCTCCATGGGGTTTTTAATCGATGGTAAATCACAGAGACTACCCATATTTCTCCTGTAGAGCAGCTGGTGGATTCGAACCACGAACTTTTGGTTTGACAGCACACCGCCTTATCATTAGGCCACCAGAGCTCAGACGTCTTGGATTTGAACCATGGAAGCCTGCAAGATAATCTGTGATCTCAGTAGTTTCTTCAAGGGGAGGTCTGCTTACAGGTGGACACTCGGTGAGGGAGAGTGTCCTATGGTGACTCTCAAGGGATTCCAGTAAATAAATTCAGCCTACAGTCTGGAGCAGGGTCTGTGCCCACGCCAGGGAAGAAGGGATCCTGACATCGTTCTCAGGGGACTCAGAAATGGACCCCTGCGCCCATCCAGTCCTATGGTCCAGGGCAGACGCCAGACGAACACCTGAAGCAAAGCCTTACAGAGCAGCCAGACTCACCTTGTTGTCGTAGCTCACGCTGCCGTCAGGCGTGGTGGCCATGATCTCGGGGGTGGATGCCCGCAGGTGGCCGGGGCTCATGATGCTGGGCTTGGCGACCCCAAAGCACAGGATGAGGTAGTTCCTCCACAGGGTCACGTAGTTGTCGCCACCGCCGGAGCTGCTGGTTTTCTTGGCGTTGATCGGGCTGCTGGAGAAGGTGAGTGGAGAGGAAAACGGAGAGCCTCGTGCCAGGAGCCCTGGGGCACAGTGCTTAGAGCACCTGGCTGCTACCCAGAAGGCTGGCAGTTCAACCCACCACTGCTCTGTGGGGAAAAATGAGGCAGTCTGCTTCCACAACAAAGACCTGGAAGCCCAGGGGCAGCTCTACGCGGTCCTGGGGTTACGTGTCGTTAAGTCAGAGCTGACTCATAGATGACCACCCAGTGCATTTTGAGAGGCAGTAAATCACAAAGGACGTGAACGCACAGCCATCTCCACAGGCAGCATGTGGACTTGAACCGTGTGCCTTTGGGTTGGCAGCTCAGCTCCTTGCCGCTTGGCCACCTGTGCTTCCTGAGGGGTGCCAGGGTAGAACTGAGTAGGGTGGTAGGCTTTAGGTACTTTGGTTTTTAGGGGTGGCCTGACCATGGCGGAGATAGGATGGTGCAGGACAGGGCAGGGTTGGGATCTGTTGTTCTCAGGGTCACTGTGACGACACCTAACAACAGCAGGTACTAAAGGTCATCAGTGCACAGAGCTCAGGAGTTTCCCGGCAAGTCTGGTAAACAGGTGAGCTGTGCACTGGCGACAGTGAGTGCCACGTGTCTGGTCCTTCTCAACACTGAGCGTTAGAGCACACAGTCTACTGTACCGATTACCGCTGCTGTATGTGCCATCAAATGGAAACACGCTCACAGCTCAGCCTCCTTCAGGTTTTAGAGGCACTAAATTGCACGTGGGGAGACCGCCCATCTTTCCCCTTCAGAGCAGGTGGATTCAAGCCACATGCCTTTGTGTTGGCAGCTCAGCTCCTTACCACTAGGCCACCAGGGCTCCCTTCCTCTGACTACTAAGGAAGCAAAGAATTAGTCTAGATAAGAACACAGAATATTCCACAGACCGTCAGAGGCCACATCCCTGTCTCGGGAGAAGAGCAGCCAGACGCCTGCTAGAAGGCAGCAGGGCGGGACTTTGCTTTTCATGCTTCAGGCATGTTAACAGGAGGGACTGGCCCCCGGAAAAGGTCATCCTGCTTGGCCGTTGAAGAGGAGGAAACCCTTGGCAGGATGCCCTGACATAATAGTTGGCAAAATGGGTCAAATGCAGTCACACTTGAGAAAAGAGAAGAGGAGAGGGGAGAAGGGAGAGGAGGGGAAGGGATGGAAGGGGAGGGAAAAGGAGAGGAGAAGAAAGGACAGGACAGG